GCACAATAGTCACTAAACACAAGTCGAATTTTACTATACTGCACTAGCACGTCTTCGTATATTCAGCTCTAAGACTGGATTGATCTGTCACAATACACTGGCTCCTGCCCTATGATGTATCCAGTAAAATATACTAATGTACACCCATTACCTGTTAGCATTAGTGTTACCCGATAATTACCTGAAACGAAATATTAGCACGCCCATGGCCGGTTCTTATCTCGGGGTTTTATTACTCTCTTTCATTTCCAAACAGAGTATAAGAAGATTTTGATGTCAGATATGAAAGAGGAAAATGTGTACCTTAGCTAAAATAACGCAGAGGAAGTGTTTTTTCAATTGCTCAATATCAAAAGTTGTAAAAACTTAACACGTGGCACTCATTTCTCTGCAACATTGCTGAAACACTAGTTTTAAAAAGTAGGAAATCTAGAAATCTAACACCATTGCCGAAAGCCATATTGTCTGATTCTCTTATAAATAAAACTGAAGTAGCTCGAATGTTATACAATAAAATAAATACAAATAAACTGCATTTCAATTCACAAGATGCTGTTGAAGATTGACCATTTTTTGAAGGTATTACTCACAATTGTACAAATATAATGTTCTACTTTAGTAAACGACAATTAAATTGCATTTAATAACTTTTTTGTCCACGATACTTTTATGACTGATATGTGAAAAAAGCCAATTACAAGACCAGAAGTTAGTATGAAAAAAATGTATAATGCTGGAGGATGTACAGTCATGCCATCGCATAAAGTCGTCGTCTGTGAGCACCTAGAAAGAGAGAGAGGGAAAGAATTCCAATAAGGCACTTACTCGAAATGAAATTTTTCTATTTGGCTCAAAACCAAAGCACCAGTTCAAAATCCTCCAAACTTCCGTGACGGCATTATAAACTTTTTCATCTGCCCAAAGTACAAAGTATTCGTTGGGAACACAATGGGGGGAAGGTTTTTTAATTACTTTTTTTTTCCAAATTAAAAGGCACAAAGAGACAAACGCTCCGTACGCGGATTTGCGTGAACCTTCCGGCAGGGGATCGGCTGACGTGTCTCGTCCTTCGTCCTGCGAGGATTCCCGGCTAGGTGGGTGTCCTGGCAATCAGAGCAATGGAAGCGCGTGTCTCCGCCCCCAATCGCGGCCACGCCCCCCTGGGGGCCAGGGCCCCATTGGCTTAACTCCCACTAGTGACTCTCCTCGGCATCAACAACATATTCACAATTCAGTATCAAATCAGTACTCATTAAATAAACAGTGCAGTGCGTCAGATTTGGAGAGCACCGTCTGTAACAGAAACATGCTGAACAATCTGGGCCCTGTCGGTAAGTTAGTGGGGGCACTAATTGACGTTAAAGTCTTTAGTGATTCAGCGTACTAACGATAGGCTAGTTAAATGGGCTAAATTGAAGCTGCCTCGCCCTCATTAGGCCAATATCGTTGGCCCGCTCCGGTAGGCCATGTAATTAGGATCACGCAGACAACGTTCCATACACTCTTTCACACTTTTAGTCAACTCGCGGCTCTTACCCGCATTACTTACATTCGAGAGCTGTCCTGGACATACCGCGACCCGAGCTGAAGGGTCATCCGACTGTTTACCGAAACTGATCGGGTTAATTGAAACAACTACGCGTTTATAGACCAGGCGAATCCTTATTTCGTCCGAAATTAAGTGCGGTGTATGGAATTGCGGTGCTGTTGATCTCTAATTCTGGTAGCTCGAGGCGAAGTGCCCATGGTTAAATGGAATAAAGTGTTGTTAAGTGATGAGGAGTTTGCCTTCCAATGTGGTGTGTTCCAATAAGAGATAGTTATGATGGTTGGTAGGTAGTTGTAGGCAACAGGTTTGGTTGGTATTTTGCGGGCTGTAGATTTTGCGGAACTGGATGTCGTCGCTGCGGAAGAACAGTAGGATATGTCGAAAAGTATCTATTTGGTTTCTAATAACTAATTTTTTTATAGAACGTAAATAGGATTTATAGTATTTCAAGCTTTTTAAGAATGTGTCAATAGAAAAAATGATAAAAAAGATAACTTAACCTACTGTTGCTTTAAGAAATAATTAATCTTCTTAGATACTTATATTATGTACTTTGTACATTTAACAATAGTTTTTTATTTAATTTTGACTATTGATATAAAGTGAATTTATTTTTAATCCTTTTGATTTCTTAGATTTTCTTGAAGTAGTAAGGGCTATCTGCTATAATAAACTTGGTTAAATGTTTTAACAATGTATTTCTTGTAAAAAACTTTTAAAACGTACATAAATCATAGGAAAAATGTATCAAGCAAATACAATGTTTTATAAAATATTGAATTCACATAAAATCTAGTCAGAATCATCATCACTGTTGGCTTTAAATGATAATGACTTCAAATTATGGTGTTTCTTTGGTTTATTGTTGCACAAATCAAGAATCTCGTTTTTTTGTTAATAGGTATTGGGGACCTTCGGAGTGTTTGAGGTTTAGTAGAGAAAATTTTATTAGACATATTTCTTCAGTTTAACTATTTTAATATCATTAAATAAAACCGGATTACTTCTAGCTCTCATTGTTGTGCCTATTTTTTTCCAATCCATGAAGTTTTCAATTGATATCTCCTTTTTTCTTTTGAATGCAAGAATCGCTTTAATTTTCTGTATGACCAATTAGGTCATCACCATTGACTTTAGATGACAATGGCTTCAAAAAACTTGGTTAAATGTTTTAACAATGTATTTCTTGTAAAAAACTTTTAAAAAGTACATAAATCATAGGAAAAACGTATCGGGCACATAAAATATTTTTAAAAACATTAAATTAAGATAAAATCACAAAAACTAGTCAGAATCATCATCACTATTGGCTTTAAATGATAATGACTTTAAAAATTATGGTGTTTCTTTGGTTTATTGTTGCACAAACCGAGAAACTCGTTTTTTTTTTTGTTAATAGGTATTGGAGGCCTTCGGTGTATTTGAGGATTAGTAGAAAATGTTATTAGACTCATATTTCTTCAGTTTAACTATTTTAATATAATTAAATAAAACCGGTTTACTTCTAGCTCTCATTGTTGTGCCTAATTTTTTTCAATCCATGAAGTTTTCAGTTGATCGCCGTGTCATCACTATTGACTTTAGATGATAATGACTTTAAAAAAATGTGGTGTTTCTTTGGTTTATCGTTGCACAATTTGAGAAACTCTTTTTTGTTAATAGGTTTGGAGGTCTTCTCATTTGTTTGAGGTTTTCTGGAAAATTTTACTAGGCTCATGTTTCTTCACTGTAACTATTTTAATACCTATCATTAAATAAAACCGTTTCACTTTTAGCTATCATTGTTTTGATTAATTTTTTTCAATTAATGAAATCTTCAATTGATATCTTAAACTTTCTTCTTTTGAAGACAAGAATGTTAAATCGCTTTAATTTTCCGTAGGGCCAATTAGGTCATCACTATTCACTTCAGATGATGACGATTTAAAAAAGTGTGGTGTTTCTTTGGTTTATCATTAGACAAACTGAGAACGTCGTCTTTTTTGTTAATAGGTACCTATTGAAGATCTTCTCGTGTGTTTGAGGTTTTATTGAAAATTTTATTAGGTGCATATTTCTTCACTTTAACTATTTTAATATCATTAACTAAAACCGTTTCACTTTTACCTCTCATTATTTTGCCTAACTTTTTCCAATCAATGAAATCTTCAATTAGTATCTCCTTAACTTTTCTCTTTTGAATACAAGAATGTTACTCGTGTGTTTTAGGTTCTGTGGCAAAATTTACTAGGCTCATATTTCTTCACTTTAACTATTTTAATATCATTAACTAATTGTAAGACCGTTTCACTTTTAGCTCTCATTATTTTGCCTAACTTTTTCCAATCAATGGAATCTTCAATTAGTATCTCCTTAACTTTTCCCTTTTGAATGCAAGAATATTAAATCGCTTTAATTTCCTTGTGACTAATTAGGTAATCGCTATTGACTTTAGATGATAATGACTTAAAAAAATTGTGGTGTTTCTTTGGTTTATCGTTGCACAAACTGAGAATGTCGTCTTTTTTGTTAATAGGGCCTTCTTTCAAGTTTGAGGTTTTGTGGAAAATTTTATTAAGCTCTAAGAAAACAACTCTTTTCCTTAACTTCCCTTTTTCTTGTTCTTTTTATTAAGTACTTACTGTTTTTTTTTTCCGCTAAATAAACTAAATTTTGAGTTCTAGTTGAGAGTTGAGTTTGAGTTGAGAATTTGGAATTTGGGTGAACTGCTCATCGTGATCTATTAAGAAGTAACTTTCTGACTTTTATTTTTGGCATAACTTAGATTTTCACTGAACAAAGGCGTCCTTTCGAAATTATTTGAAATAAATATATCAAAACTGCTTTTGTAGATATCCTACTGTTGCTCTGATGCGACGATGTGTTCATACATAAATTTTGTTTTAATAACAATTTTGAAAAGTCTACTATGTATTTGCAAATTATATCTTGAAGTATTAATAATAACTATACAATTTATAGAATGTAAGATATTGTACATATAACAATAATGAACAATGTTTTCTAATATTGGCAGTAATCTGTTTCTTCTTTTTCAATTTTGAAGTAGGTGTTCCTTAGAATGTTTTTGTAAAAGTTCTTTGGTTTGATTTAAAACATGAACGGAAATAATATGTTCTATTCTATTAACATAACAATATTCATAATAAAACGTCAGATAACTGTATAGCATATAAACATATAGACAAATATAGGCATAACATCCAAAACAATGAAGAGAATTTACTTGGTAGTAAATAAACTTGAAGTTGTATGGTCTTCAAAATATCCCCCCCCCCCAAAAAAAAAGCAAAGAGTTCGATTAGTATACGGCAATACCACAAAACCCTTAAAATATGAGTTGAAGTACAAAAAATATATATTACAAAACAACTAGAATCTATAAAAAATTATTAACAAAATTCGCAAAATTCGTTATATAGGAACATGGCTATTCTTAGTAAGAAGCCTCGTCAAAACAAATTAAAAAATGATGTATTAAAAATTATATTAAAGTAAAACAAAAGAACTATTTACTGTTAAAAAAATTATAGATAATATTGTTTTACAAATGTTATCAGTTTGATTTGACTTTTTTCGTAAAATGCACCGTTAAAACTCCAAAATCGATAGTACAATTAGTTGAATCTTTAGCAGTGTTCCCATGAAAATCAAAATATCTTTTTATAGACATATTTAAATAGATTTTTGTACAAATCCGTCTTTATTTGAATGAAATCTACAGTCAGACGAATAGATTCAAAGCGTCCGGAACTATTACCTGTAATTGTAGAGAGAAATTATTCGTAACACTAAAATAACTCAAAAATGACAAAAGTTGTGACTGGAAATAATCCAAATCTGTAAAAAAGGTGCTGTTTACATCAAATAACTTTTTTGTGGGGCTCTTCAGACTCGGTGGCTATTATACTGTACTGTGCTACCTGTGCTGTACTAAATTTGGTCTAGTATAATGTATGTAGTCTAATAAGTCTACACTTTCAGTAATTTTTGAATAATTGATCAAAAATTATATTTTACTTTCTGCCTACAAATGATGTTACTATTTTCTTTATTTCCTTGGTATTTTGCCACTTGTTAACAAAATTTAAAACAGTAGGATCAGTCAAAGACTATTTTTTATGAAAATGGTATTGCCTGATTAAAAATCACAAACTGAAAAAGAGACAAATGCAAAATACCTATAATAGTTTATTAATTTTTTAAATTTTGTTCACAGGTGGCAACATATCCTATAAATAAAGAAAAAAAATATGAATCATGTTACTCTAGTTCCTTATTTAAGTTGACTAGAGGAATCAGCTTTGGATGTTATTATACCTTGTAATATACAGGGTGTTCTACAAGTATCATGATAAACTTCAACAGATGATAGCTATGTTAATTTCGAACATTTATTCTTATATGAACATAGGTCCAACTCGTTTTTGTTTAGACGTTACAAGCATTTTAAAAATGTAATATCATATTATAATCAAAGTAGCTTGATAAATAAAAATGGTGGTTGCTATAACAACAATTATTATTTGTGTAATTTTATTGATTCATACCTCACTTAACGTTAAAGTGCTAAATAAAAAATGCATTTATTTACAACTGAAGAGTACGCAGATATTATCTTTGTATATGGGTATTCCTACGGAAACACCAGACAAGCAGCAGAAAAGGCCAGTCGGTCTCCTGAAGCGAATGTACAAAACGAAGAAGATTTAATAGATGCTGTCATTGACAATTCATCAATTAGTGTTCAGCGTATAGCATAGTAAACTCTTTTTACCGCCGAATTTTGTATGGCGTCTATTGAACAGAGAAATGTTACATCCGTTTCATCTCCAAAATGTACAAGCGTTATATGCTGGTGATGCTCCTCAGCGATTAGAATTTTCTCGCTGGTTACTTCAACAACATACGCAAAATGATAGATTCATTTCGCTTGTCATGTTGTCTGATGAAGCGTTTTACTAGGCTTGCATTCGAGCCAAAGGTGGACATTTTGAACAATTTTTATAGTCTTAAGATTTGTTAATTTGGTTAATAAAGGTTAACTGATGTTTAAACTTTAAACACATACAATAATTATCAGCGACCATCTGTCTAAGATTACAGAACACACTGTATTCTATCAGCTACAACTGAATAGCAATGAATGAAGATGAGGAACAACAAAAAAGTCATTGCTTCTAACTGTAACTTGAAGTGAAAAGAGTTTGACCTTTAAGTTTTAGGTGCATCGTTCTATGTATAATAAATAGGTAGAGTTGTTTCAAAATCTTATGAGCTTTGACCTTCATATGCGGCAGAAACATAATTCCGACCGTTGCCTAAATTATTCTACGTCCTAAAAACATTACATCTATTATTCACAGTCTGTCTCGAGCTCTCGTAGCGTAAACAAGCCTTTGATCCGATTACAAATATCATAATAAAATGCCCTATTCTTTATTATTTTAATTTAAGCAATAAAAATATATATATAACGAACGTTCGCTAGTTGACTTTATTGATGCCCGAGCGCTTTAGTTCATTTCTGGTTGTAATGAGGCACGTGGTCTAATTCTGAGTCAATGTTTTCACGACGTGCTTATTAGAAGAATTATGCAGATATGCCACGCCTTTCGCGCATTTCGCGGCTCATGAGATTTTGAAACTACTCTACAGAACATAGTTTTGAACTTAAAAGAATAATGCTCATCATAGCGCTGAGCTTTCGATTGTTGTTTCATCTTCATAGCATGAATGTCAGCAAGACCATCCTGCCTCCACACATCCTTTTACATTGACTCTTCCCTTCCAGGTATTAAGGAGATGTGCGGGGAAGACTTAAAAAGGCACCAAGGCGATCTCAAAGTGCTGGATCAGCCACGTCTGAGCGCGCTATGCGAAGGCGGACTCTCCGGCCTAGGTGGGTCTGTGGGCAACAATTCGAACGATGGAGACAAACCTTCCAAGCAGAAGAGGCACAGGACGAGGTTCACTCCTGCCCAACTGAACGAGCTGGAAAGGTGCTTTTCGAAAACTCACTACCCGGACATCTTCATGAGGGAGGAGATAGCCATGAGGATCGGTCTCACCGAGTCGAGGGTACAGGTGAGTCCATTTTACCTCAGTTCTGAATGTTCGGGTGGCTTGATTATTTATCGACCGAGGTGATTCGTAATATCTACAACTGTTATGAAACTTTAAAATATTGAAGGAAATTTGATAATAAACAAGTGCAAGCGGTACATTTAGGCGGCGGTTACATTGAATGCGTATTGGTACAAAAAATTATACGAATTCTTAACAAATTATTCGAACAGGGTATAGTTTAAGAAAAGTAAAATTCTTGAATTTTTGATCGATTATTTGAAATCGATGAAAAATTATAGAATTGTTAAACCTGAAAGTTTTTATTTTATTGATTATTTGTTTTAAAATCTGTAATAAATGAAAAATTGTATATCAGTACTTTCAAATTAAAAATTTGTCTCTCTAAAACAGCGGAAATATCTATAGATAGGAGTGTAACAAAAATTAAGTTTAGAAAATATAATTTCCGGTCAAACCTGAAGTGGTACATGTAATTTTCTGCAAGAGATATAAGGTGTTTTTCCTTAAAAAATTAAGTTTTCGGTCATATCATTTTGAACTAATATTCTATTGTTTTTTATCTATAGAAATTTTTAATGTCTGCAAGTGTATATTTTATCCCAATCGAGTAACTTAAAAGCTAAGAAGTAAAACGTAATTATGGCAAAACGTTAGCAATTGGGATAACTTAAAAAACATCCTAAATATCCCGTCAAATAAAATCAAACGACGTTTCTTAATACAAAAAATCTAGATATACAAAAGGTATTTAACTTTACAGACAAGATTCTTAATTGGCGATATTGCTATATGCTTCAATTAGCATTGAATGCCAAAGACAACAATATATTAAACAATTAATAATTAATAAGTATCTAAAATAAAAATTAAAACTGATATCTCTATATCATTAATACAAAAAGAAATTAAAAAAGAAATTTTGTAACAAGCAAACACTGATTAGGTAAAAAATACTTAAATTTAACAAAACATCAGTTTTTTGTTTTATACATAATTTTATTCTATTAGTATTAATTAATTCTATTTGCAAAGAGGCTACTTGAAAAATCAGTCCTAAGTAAATGCAGAAATATTAAGACCTTTGTCAAAGGTGTTGTTAAAACAACAGGGATACAAGATATTCCTTTGAAATATTGCATTGGTTGACAAGTTCAATATGTTAGGTACTTACATATTTCTTCATTAATAATATATTTATACATATCGATTTTAATTTGTGTTTTTAATAATTAATAATTACTACATACTGCTGGTATAATTCAATGGTAGTTGGTGGATGTAGCCTACAGAATAGTTATTTTCCGCAATATGATCAGTTAAAAATCTCGTTTTTGAGGTTAGATATCATTTGTATTCCTAAACTTTTTGGTATCAAAAAGAACATTGTTTGACTTCATTTGATAGGACCTTTAGCAAAATTTTTGAATTTATTTGAATTAGTTTAATACCTAATGCTGTCTTAATTAGTACAGAAAAAGTTCATATGGACAAATGGACATATTTTACTTAGAAATATCAATAAATCGGTGGTGCGAAAATATGAAGTTAAAATTAGACTTTTTTTATTTGAAGTACGTTTTTCAACAGAAAATAGGTTATATAAGTGTCTTTCTTTCTTTATATAGTATTTTTATAGTATACAGGGTGGTCCGAATTTTATGCAGGAATCTTCGAGGGGAGATAGATCTCTTTAAAATAATATGTGTTTGCCTTATAAACATAGGTCTGGAACGGCACCGTTTTAGAGATACAGGGTGTTGAAGTTGTCAAAAGAAATTGATTTTTTGTTTATATCTCCGGAATCTATTAACCGATCTCAATAAAAGTTGGTACATATAATGTATGATAGTAGGCCTTATATTCCCTGAAATATGAGCTTTAAAGGTTCAACCAGTGGTGTACAATTGGACAGGGGTCACCCCCCTTTTTTACAAAAAAACCTACTCCACTGCATTTTTTACATGTCATTGTAATTGATTTATATTTTAATGCACAAAATACGTAAAAAAGATGACTCTAATTTTTTCCCTAAGATTCGCCGTTCTCAAGTTATTCATACCAATACAATCCCCTTGTGGCAGACACTTCTAACGATAATATTACAAGAATATTTGTTTATGTTTAAAAGTAAGGGCAATTTGTAAGCACATCAACAAAATTATTTACACTCCTTTCAACACCACCTTTGAGGTAGTGTGTGATATAATCAAAAAATCAATTTTTTTTAAACCTCAACACCCTGTATCTCTAAAACGGGGCCGTTCCAGACCTAGGTTTATAAGGCAAACACATATTATTTTAAAGAGATCTATCTACCCTCGAAGTTTCCTGCACAAAATTCGGACCACCCTGTATAGTTTAGTTGCCAAAGATTATCCAGATTGTGTTCTTATGTTGAACATATTTTCTATTACATACCTACATATATATGATCTTATTATTATTGTTATTGAACTATTTACGGCGCAACGGACGGCAGTTTTATGACATTTATCTATTTTCAAGTTCAAAATACAGGATGACAGAGACATTTATAAGTCTGTTCTACTCCTGTATAAACAACTGATACTTTATTGGATTACAGCGAAATATACCTGCGTAAAATGTTAATTTGGGCAATGTGACTAATTAAATGTTTAAATTTATTTTGAAATTTATGTTGAAATTCCACAAAAAATTATATTAAATAAATATAATAAAATTTTTAAATATAGAGTTATCAGATTTAAAATAAAACACAAAACTTCCTGGTGTTCATTAATGCATCTTTTTTATTTATACCTTTAAACGTTAAAACCAATTCTACAGCTTGCGCGTAAAACTAAACAAAGCCATACTTTCTTACCAAAAGTTTACATGTCCAAATTTTAGTTTTTAAGATAAAACTCAAACTAAGATTATAATGTTGATAATATTTTGATGATAAGTTAATTTCATTCTCATATGCTTGCTGTGGAAAATGTATCGTTCATATAGGTATAATTTCTTGTGTATAAATATAAATATAAATTATTTTATAATTTCTCTCAAATCAATTACAGTGGACTCGTTAAGTTTTGCGCGCAAGTTACAGAATTATCTTAAAACTAAGGTAATACGAGGTTTAATCAAGAAGGAATTTTTAAATTGCCCGTGTTGTATCTTGTCTATGGAGCTGATTCTTTTCTTTATTGGTAGTTGGTAGTCAGTGACGCACCTGTCAATTTAGGTAGCTGCCATGATTAGTTTGTGTCTAGCGAGCGAATGAGTAAGGCTTACATCGATGTTTTTGTCGATTTTTTGTTTCAGAGAGTTTACCTGATATTTTGTATAAAAACGGAATTACCTAAGTGCAACAAAGCGTCAATAATATGTCATGGCCATGAGTTTCTCAATGGTACAAATGTTTTCCCGAAGGCCAAGAAGTATTGAAGATAAGGCGAGATTTGGTCAAATGTGAAGGTTCTTCTAACCGTTGTCTTCGACGACAATGGAATAGTTCATCACGAATTTTTACTACCCCGTTGTATAGTTAACAAGGAGTGCTACCTACAAGTTTTGCGAAATTTGCGTGGGGCAATCAGGGGGAAACGACAAGAACACGAAAGACAACTCCTGGATTTTGCATCACAACCACAAACTGGCGCATACTACTTTGCTTATCCAACAGTTCTTATCGAAACAGTTGTGATGCCGCAACCACCCTATTATCCGGACATGACCCTATGTGACTTTCCTATTTCCCAAACTCAAAAGGATAGTCAAAGCAAAACGTCTTTCAATAATAGATGAGATAAAGGTAAAATCGCAAACCGTGGTCAAGACGATGCCTAAAGAGACGTTCCACCAGTATTTCTCAAACTGGAAACTACGTTCGCATAAGTGTATAATATCACAGGGGAGCTACTTTGAAAGAGATGGAATAAAAATTGCAGATTAAATAAATACTTTCTGTGAAAATGAACAATTCTTGTTACTTTTTGATCAAACCTTGTATCCCAGCATTTCACTCAACATCTAGGAACTTATTGTTACTTTTTTAATGTTCATTGATTTTCTATTTCTGGGATACTTATGTAGGCAGCAAATCTTGCTATACATCTTGCTCTCAATCCTTTTGAACATAATTTTTTGTAACTTCTTAACATACATTGCACATTTGCTTTATTGGAAAAATTATTTTCTGAAAATATTGATACACTTTGCGATTGAATTTCTTTATTTTAGACAAGTACGGTGATGTTCGTTGTACTTTGTAGTTAAATTATGGACGGTTGCAGTTCTGGCAGTTGAATTTCGTTGCGAGTTTTGTCTGTGTTGTTAAGGCTAAGTTCAGAGCTCTGATGTTTCACTTAATTTCTGCCGCCGCAACCGTCTAGAAAGTTGTGGGGGGTTTGCACAAAGCTTTTAGAGCTTATGCCGCCCGTCGCTGTCTAACGCCCGATTTAATCCCGGAATGCCGCAGGATTCGCAACTTTAGATAACTCGTCTAGCTTAATTAATATAAATTGAAATTAGCCCACAACTTAGAAGGAACTGAATCGTGCGTTGTCTACTGTGTACTTTTCGAATAGATAGAATAAAAAGATGGTTATTTTTATTCCTTAAGTTGAGCTAAACAAAGTTTTATGCAAATGGAGGTTTGGGTAAACCACTTAAAAATTCGGAGAAAACTAACTAACTAACGTTATCGACGAGATCTCTTCAGTACAATGCATACGATACTTTTAATAATTTAAAAAGTAATAGTAATGAACTGGTGCAATTCAAGCACGCGCGAGAATTAGGATTTGCTAGTGTAGTATCACTACACTATGATGACAGATGAGCTACTATATGATTGTTTTTTATTTGGAGTTTCAAATGAGAAAATTCCAACGGAACACAATGTAAGAGGAACTATAAAGTTTAACTATAATCCTTACATACTTAAACATATATTCTTTTGTTTTTTTGCCCCACTATAGTAAATAGACTATTTAATGCATTGTTTTTAAGGAGGTAAGTGAATTTTACCG